GTGTGACAGTCACATTAAAATCTGTGGTGTTATGGGATATTTTAGAGAGGAAACAGTCCTCACTCATCTCAGAAACAGAGTATGTTTGGATAATCTCAGGGTCGCTTGTTTCTGTCTCTGTTTTACATCCGGCGCCTGCCTCCATCTTCCTCCCTCCTCATTTTGCTTTCCCTTCGTCTCCCTCCTTCCTGTTCCCTTTCTGTCTTTGCTCCGTCCTTCTTCGCCTGTCCTCCTCCATCTCTTTGAACCTCACACCTCTCCTCCCTCCCTCGCTCCCCCATCTTCCCCTCCAGGTAGCAGCTCTGTGCCGGAGTTTTTCCGCATCATGACTCGTCAGTTTACAGCGTACGAGTGGAGCGTCATCCAATCAGCCGGCTCTGAGCACCAGCAGCTCGCCACGTTCTACCGCCACTGGGTAACCATGGCAACCATACTACCCTATCGCCACATTGCATCGTTGCTGGCCCCCACAGGCTGTGTTTTCTGTGCGTGTGTGTGTGTGTGTGTGTGTGAAACATAGGGAGAAAATAACATTGCAGATGTCCTTTAAGACTTGCACGCATACATGTGTGAATTTCTCTCCTCAGCTCTCATTTTTCTCCAATTTTCTCTTTTTCTCACATTCTGTGCTTCTCTCTGTCTGTATTTCATCCTCACACATACACAATTGCCCTTTCTTCAATTTCCCTTTCTCAGTTTCTGACCTTTTTTTCTCTCTCATGTATTTTCTTTCTTGGACACACACACACACACACAGATGGACAGCGCTAAGTAAAGATGTTGCGAGATTGAGAGGGTGGCACAGAGACGTCAAGCTCTGATATCATCACCACACTGTTGACTAATGGCAGAGTTCGACGGTTGCCATAGCGATTAGCCTTGTAATACTGTTATTGTGGCTCATTGGCTGCCGAGCAGGGTTGGTTTTGCCTGAACACACATACACACATTCACACACACACAAAGTCGCTCTTTTGTGTACACACTGTTATACATGTGTGCATAGATTCCCATCTGTTGTGGTTTTAAGTTATTGTGCTGCTGAGCCAAAATACTCCACACACACACACACACACACACACACACACACACACACAAAAAAGCACACACACACATACTCAAAGAAACAAACTGTCCTTCTTTTGTGCCTGATCAATTTCGGAATATAACTAGTAATACTTTCACTTAGTTTACTGGATTTCCTCCTTTTCCACCAAGGCCCTGAAGGAGAGCTTCATCAAAGCCATCGGCACGGGTCTGGGTTTCAACCTGCAGCGGGTGGAGTTTCACCTGCCCTCTGATCCGCTCACTCAGGGCCAGCCACTGAGCCAGACCAGGATGCATCTAGATGAGGAAGAAGAAGAGGATTGGATATTTGAAGTGAGTCTTTTTGAAGGCAGGTGTGAAGAGTTTGGAGGACAAAAAAAACTACCTCAGAGATTTCTAAAAACATAAAGATAAAAAAGACTTTTTTATTTTCTGTCAAAAGACACATTTAAAAGACCAAAACAGACCAAAGACAAAATATTCAAGACTGGTTCAGTTTCCAGATTAGAAGTGAAAACAAAAGGGAGCCAAAGAGATCACTCACAGCAGTGTGCAGTTACACACTACAACTCCCATGCTCAATTACCAGATTGGCATTCTGCCATACCGTCTTATTTTCTGTGACTTTTCTGTGAATATTTTGTGTTCATGCTTGATTCGGATTCTTCTCACAGTTTTATTTTGCCCAGAAGAAGCTGTGCTCAATGCTAAATGTTGTTTTGAGCACAAATTAAAGCAGGGGTCTCTAACCGCCGGCCTGTGGGCCATATCCAATCCCCGTCTTCTGCAACATGATGTCAAAAATATAATTTAATCCGTCCCGCAAAATTATTTTATGATTTTTTGTAATTGTTTCATATCAGTTTAAACTATGCCTTGGTATACAGTATAAAATACTAAAACACAATTCTGTTGCAGAATAATGGCAAAGGTCAGAAAGAAAAAGAGCAGGTTTCAGGCCTTCATTTGTTGTTGGGCTGCAAACAACAAAGATGATATAAAATTATGCTAGAAGAATTTATAGAAACTGCTGTTATGATTTTAGTAATGCAAGTATTTACAAAATACTGCGCTTTCTTGTTGTACTTGTACGTTGAAGTGGCCATCTAATGAGGTGACAATACCAGCAGTGGCCCCAAGCTAATTTGAGTTTGAGACCCCTGAATTAAAGACATAGTTCAACATATTGTTCCTTTTTGCTTTGTTGCTGAGAGATAACTGAGAAAAAATACACCACTTTCATATCAGTCTGTTAAATAGGAAGCTACAGCATGCAAACAGTTATCTTAGCTTAGCATAAGGGCTGGGAAAGGGGAAACAGCTGACCTGGCTCTGTCTGAATGAAACAAAATCTGCCTACCAGCACCTCAAAGCTCACTAGTTAACACACGTTATATCTCAACATAATCAAAATAGGATATTTCCAAAAGTGTTGAACTGTTCCTTTAAGAAAGTAGATTATGTAGAAATTCTTTCAGTTTTCATTTCCTTCCTTCAGGCTGCATTTAAAGATATAGTGTCAGGTTGAATACTGCTACTACTGTTTTTGTATCATATGTACATGGTTAATTTATACTTATACTATAAAATAAAGTTAGGCTAGTTTGATAAATACTTCTTGGGTACATATTATCAGTGGCATTTTCTTTAGAGTAATGTGTAAAACCTGTTTGACTCAGACTTCAGAAATCAGTGAACTTAAAAGCAGCGGTTCAAAGGCGTCGGCAGCTCTGCTGTGGGGTCCTCCGTACCCCGTCCCCCAGTGTCTGCCCCCTTGAAAGCATCTGCAAAGTGAATCACAGGTGGTCTTACAAAGAAATACACACAAGAGACTTGCAATAGGGGGGCTCTCAAGTGGCCCTCCAGCCCTCCTAACACCATGACAAGAGATTAGAGGAGTGCCAGAGCGGAAGAATCATCTGTTTCCATCACTCCTCTCACCCCCCTTCTATTTCCCATTTCATCTCCTCTTTTTTTGCTCCTCTCATCTTCTTGTCTCCTCAACTTCATTTCACTCTTCTCTCCACTTCTCTCTTTGATGTTATATCTAATATCTCTTTCTCTTTTCTCTCTCCTCCATCATTTTACTGTACCTCCTCTCTTCTTTCGCCTCCTCTCCTCTCTTCCCCCTGTCCCCCTGTACTTTTCCTCTCCCCCCCCCCTCTTCCCTTCATGCCCAGTGGCAGAGGGATTAACAAGTGCCTGCTAAAAGGTTACCACTGGTTTGAAAAGCCTGATGTTACGTCTCATCTCCTCTTCTCTCTCTTGGGGTCTTGGAGGTTTAATGCTGTTTTAGTGTCTGTGTTTTCACACCAGAGAATAACAGCTCACTTATATTGATCGCAGGTAGAAGGTAATGCATGTGTCCCCTTTTTAACTATAGATTGTTGGGCAAAGTGAAGTAACAGCAACATACAGAATATAGAGGTTGTTTCAGGAGCATGAAGGATGAAGAGATGCAAGTTGTCTCAATGTGACATTTGGGTTAAAATTACCTTCATCAGGTGTTTGAACATCACAGCACTTCCATAAAGTAGTAGTAATACCTGAATGCTAGACTACAATACATTGGTCAGTTGTTGAATTAGACACTGACCAAATGCAAAATGTATGTAAAAATATAAAATGGTTTAAACTATTTTGATAACCAATATGGTTTGAGTCACTTGTCAAGCAAAAATGCCAAACATTTGCTGGTGCCAGAATGTTAATATATGAGCATGTACTGCTTTTCTCTATGTTATGCGATTGTAAATGACATACCTTTGGGTTTTGACATCTGAAGATATTATGTTGGGCTGTAGGTTTTTTTGTGATTGCCATTTTATTTACAAAATAATGAACTGATTAAGCTAGAAAATAATTAGCACATAACTGACAATGAAAATTACCATTATTTGCAGCCCTAATGATATTAATAATTATAAATATAAAACTTATAACATATAACATATAACATATAAAATATAACCAGCAACATCCATATTAGCAAAACATTTTTTGGATTTAATGCTGTCCAAAAGTTTAGGAATAAAAAGTAAATATGGGTATAAATATTATAAATATTATACACCAAAGAATGCAACTCCACAAAATGCCCCAGCTGGCAACGTTAAATGATTGATAATGACAAATACTAAATTTGTCCTCAACTCTGAAAAACGATAGCAAAAACAACAACAATAATGATTGACACAGTGCTTTACATAAAAGCAAATCACAACATTTACAATCAAACAAAGACGGATACAATAAAATAGAATAAACTTAAAGACAAGATATGACAAGATAATAATATCCTATAAAATGAAGCATAACATAGATTATAATGTGTAAGGAGAGCTCAAGGATAAAATAAAATCTCACATTTAAATGTTTGAGTACAGTAAAGTGTAATGACACAAAGACGTGTGCCTCATAATGTACAGGCCGTTGTTCCAGTCTGCACTTACACACCTCAGTGGAGCGCATCGTCACATTGTATGTCCTTAAGAACAGCGACACACATCATTATTTGTGATCAGTGAATGATTGCACTGACCTCGAGAGGTCAAACAACCTCGAGCTGAATCGATTTTTTGAAATTTGCCTTATACACAAATAGACATGCTCAGAGCTCCAAGTGTTAACAGAGAGTGGAGATGAGCAGCAGTGCTGTTGACCGCGTGTCCTCTGGCTCACTGTGAGCTGATTGGCTAGATCAGAGTGCAGCGATGAGACTTATTACTTCCTGCTGACCTCTGGTGATGTCACCCCTGCAGCCTCTAGACACAAACACGGAGGGACATAATAACACACATTCAAATCACACTGTAACAAAAATGGTGCTTTCCTGTGATACAGCTTATCTCTATGCTCCCGTACTGTCTGCCATTTTATAACTAACCCCCCACTACACACACACACACACACACACACACACACACACACACCACCACCACCTGTTACTCCCACATATACACACTCAGCTATTGGCCTTTAATGTCCAAGTGTATTTTTGCCAGTTACAGAGGCAATTGCGGCACAAATTGTATTTTGAGTAGACGTTATAGAGTGGATAAAGTATTTCAAACAAAATCTCTTTTGAATGGATGTTTTTTTAGGATAATTAAGCCTCAACAGGATAGATTTACAGTGTATATATTGTATAATATAGGAGTAGTAAGGAGGCCAGCAGTGGAAAAAATCCTCCCTTGACTCACATAAGCAAGGCTGGAAGACTGGATATGGATCTGATTTTGCCACATGTATTAATTATATATGCTGCAGAATGGATTTATATCTTCAAGCTAGGCGCTGACATTTTTCAGTGAATACATTTACGCTTGATGTTTCCTGGTATCGTAGGCACCCGTTTCTGCTCGGGAAACAATGTGTGACTTTTAAACGCAGTGGTTATGTGACCTTCACTCGCTGTCCTTCGAATTGATGCACGAGATATTTACATGCATGTATTCAATGAATTATGCAAAAGTGGCCGCTGATAAGGATGCACATATGCATTATTTGTCATATAGTATTTGCTCTATATTTTATGATATGATATTGCATTCTATAGTATTTGCTCTGAATTTGAATGTGAAGGAGAATTTTTTTATTTAGTATGATATGCAGGCTGTTTATTTGCATGTGCTGAGGCGTGTGTGTTTATGTCTGCAGGAGAGCCTCCTGGATGATGCTCATCATGTTGCTGTAGCACTCGGACCAGCGGACAAGCCAGGCTCTGCAGTAAGGACACATAACATTCGCATTTTCAACATTTGACAGTTGCTCTCATTCGGAATAACTGATATTTTTCCTCGGGATGCATTATTAAAGGAACATTTTCAAAAGTGATGTAAGAGATGTTTCATTTGCAGCCATAATGCTGCACAGTTCTCTATGTGTCTCTAATACCCCACCGAAGAGGCACTTAAAGAACCAGTGTGTAGGATTTTGTGGCATCTAGCACACACTAGCAAACACAAAAAACACGAGCTCCCCTATTTAGAGACAGTGTTTGGTTTGTTCCTACTGGGCTACTGTAGAAACATGCCGGGCTTCATATAGCTATAAAACTGTGGTAAGGTAAGAAGTCAGAACACTGGACGTCAGGAACGAAATAACTCTTTACAGCTGCTATAATCAATATTTCTTATAAAAACAGTGAATCAAATGACAATGTGACAATATGATCACCAATAGTAATGAACCTGCAGAGAATTATTATATTGTTTAGCTGTCCAGCCTCCAACTTTACTGTTTTGGTTCACTCTCACCGCGCTCATTGCGACTTTTTTGGCAGCAGCAGGAAGTTGTTTTTATTAAAAAAGGTCTATAAACCCACTGTACACAGCCTGGTCAGCACCAAACCAGACATACAGAGACAGTCAGCGACCAGCTGGTGAATACAGTGGAGCTGTTAGCAGCTGAAGAGCCAGACAAGTTGGTAGAGACCAATAACAGAGCTAAAAAAGGAGAACTTACATTCACCAGGTGACTAAAAACATATCCGAATATCCCAATATATCGATGTTAAAAAGAAAGTCTTTATATGTTGACCTAAATTTGAAAAAAATAATCACTATACTCAGTGATTTAAGACTCTCTTCTTCTCAGCTTCTTCATCCATCTCTTCCTCCTGCCACCACATTCACGCTGCTGTCGTTCAGTGAGCTCATCGCCTCAGCCTCACCTCTGACAGAGGAAGACTCCGCCTACTGGGACAGCTTCAAGATGAAGGCTGAAGCTCCACAGAGACAGAGAGATACACACACATCCAAATGACCACCTGTCTTACACTGACACTCACCGGCCACACACACACACACACACACACTTCAGAAGTGCCAAAAGAGCACACATACACTGACATTGAAGCTGCTTTCTCATTCAACACAAGTCAAGTCCAAACAGTCAAGTTTATTTATAAAACCAAAAATCACAGGTTTGTCTCAGAGGATTTCAGGATCCATACAGCATCTAACACCTTATGTCTTCAGGTTCTCGGGGTTATAGATCCACTGCAGGTGGGGCATGGATGACCAAATATGAAGTGGAACAAAGAATTTTCTGTTTTTATTGTATTGACCTTTATTTCACTAACATTCAACTTGGATCCTTTTTTATTAGTTTTGCATTCCCTATCATAGTTAATGATGATTTTCGAGCCTTCAAACAACACACTGATCGAAAGACATTGCTCAAATGGTGTATATAGTGTATAATATGTAGGATAAGAAATGCATAATTCACAGATGAATAGGTTATGATTTATTGAATATATTTACTTTTTAGTCAAATTCCTATGTGGATGCAAGGATCAAATAAACGGCTGTATGTAACCATGTATGTGCACAATGTATGTGTCTCTTCACAGTCATTTTTCCTCTCAAGGGCTCTGTTTTTTTTAAACTTTCATTTCTTTAGGTTTTCCAGCAGTTATTGTGAATTTAGTGCAAAGCAACACAAAGTATCCAAATGTTCTGGTGTTTTTTTTTTTTCAAGTTTCACTCAAAATCACTTTATTTTACATGGGATTTTGCCATATTGTGCCACATCGATATATTGATTCAACCATATATTACTCAGCACTGTGCCTCTATGTGTTGTGTTGTGTGTGATGCTTGAGAGTACAGCTAAATACCTCTCTCATCTTTCTCTCTTTTTAACTGTCCCCCATGTTATCTTGCATTCATTTGTCTTCCTCCATGTTATCTCTCCCATTTTCTCTCTTTCTTTCCTTTTCTCTGTCTCCATCTCGTCTCCATCTGGTAGCGTATCTATTTTAATCCAGGACATTTAGTTGACCATCACGTTCTCTCTCTCTCTTTCTTTGCGGTTCATTCTCGTAGGACAGCTCGTAGATTCGGTAGCAGTCTGCACATTTAACCCTTCTGTCCGCATCTCATTACTTTAATAGCAACATATAATCATAAGCTCCCCCCCCCCCCCCCCCCCTGCACACACAGATGGAAATGACTGGCTTGGAAGTTAGAGGTCAAGTGATATGTACATGCAGTTGCGTATGCATTATGTTTGTGACATTACACACGGCACCTCCCCTTCTCACCCCTGAGGCGAACAGATACATAAACACTAGAGGTGACAGCTGCAGAGCATTTGGCTCTGTTACCGTCATTTTTATACAACGTAGTGAAACCAAGATCAATGAATTATCTTGATGCCAAAACTAATGGGAAGTTGAGTTCATATCAACAACAGATACAGAGACAGACAGGCATCCTAAGAGCAGGAAAAACACATTATTGGTAATTATATTTCTGATCGACAAATCTAGAATTATCTGAACTGCCATGACCTCACACACAGGGCTCTGACACTTGACTTACCGAGCTGTGGTACATGGACATAAGATAACATGCATGACCTGCACCTGCTGCTTTCTTTATGTCCTCCACCTTCTTTCTATCTGTTTTTTATGCCTAGCCTTTTGAGAGAATACAGGTGAATTATTGGTATTGATGGAATGGCAACCTGCTGTCCAGATGGTTTCATGGAGGTCCTTTGTCAGTGTTTTTATGTGTGACACACACACACATACACAAGTATAGATAGTACAGTGTGTCAGTGAAAAGGTGCAGTCATTCAAGTCCATGTTTATGAGCATGAGCATGTAGTGTGTATGCTGTGAGTGAAAGAAATAGAGCTTGAAAACACACACAGACATGCAGTTATTGCCTCCAGCTGGAGCAAATTAGTTTGCCTCCTTGCCGTCTTAAATCTTGTGTTCTCTGCAGCAGTGAAGGAGGAGAGAGGCGGCAGCGGGGTCAGACTGGAGTCACACAGGCTTTCCTAAGAGAGACGCCATTTCTAGTTGCCTCAGGTTTATTGGCATGTCGGAGAGGATGGAGACGAGTGCTTTGGGCATCAGACTGAGAATTTACCCTGAGAGAAGAGAGGAGACCCTGCTCAGCCTGCTGTTGAGGATAAGAGCAAAGTTTCTTCTGGAATAGGAGGAGGACATGTTGTGCCACATTTGGACTTTCACTGGCACATTTAAAATAAGTTTAGAGTTACATAAATGTTTTTTAAGCCCCTGCTTTACAAGTAATACCATTTTGTACCATGACAGTTACGCTTTGTGTTTGAATAAATCCCTTCATGTTAATTAAACACAGAAACTATGTAGGAAGGGATAAAGTAAAAAAAAAAAAGTAGAAAGAAGCTCATTTACTGAGCAGATACATATAGACTTGTTAGCCACGTTGGCATAACGGCTCTAGAAATATCAATATCAGAGGACCAGGACTAGAATTATGGGATGGATTGCCATGACACATTCATGTTCCCCTCAGGATGAATTGTAATAATGTGACGTTTCATCTAGTTTCATCATCAGGTCGAATTTCAATGTGGCAGATACATGCAAAATGACATTCCCATCAGTATTATCTGTACTTTGTTTTTAGTGCTAACCTTATATATACTCTCACTGGTGCTGCAGTAAGGAGTCCATAATTATAATTGAGTTAGCATTTTTACACTCTCAGGTCCCTCAGCATGACGGCAACTTATTTACTCCACGTCTACAATAGGTTCTTGACAATAATAATTTATACTTATTTGCATTCTGGCTGAGAGAGGAGAAGATCGATACCACTCTCATGTCCGTTCATTAAACTTGAAGCCAGCAGCCGGTTAGCTTAGCTAAGCATAAAGACTGGAAACGGAACCAGCTAGCCTGGCGCAGTCCATAGGTAACAAAATCTGCGTACCAGTGCCTCTGCTTTACATTTTGAATATATGAATTTAAAAAACAAGATATATAACTTATATATATATATATACTATATATAACTAACTAAGCTTTTGAGGTCCTGGAACTAGCATTTAGCTCAACGCAGCACTGAGCAGCCCATTGACAATATATATCAAGGCCTGATAGCATTGCTGTAGACTCTTAGTGTTTGTTTTGAATCTGATTTTTAGGAGAATGATTACTTAAAGGTCACATATTAGCAAAACACACACAGTTATATTTGATTTCCAACTCTTGTTTCGGAGAAAGGTAGTTAAACATGCCGGGTTTAAAAAACAATTTCTTCCTCAACCACTGCAGCTGAAGAGCAAGATTTAAGCTGAAGCCTAAAGTGATTTACTGTGGTGTCAGAGACCAGACTTTGTTATGTCTTTCTGGCCAGCTGGAAAACATACTCAAAGGTTTTTTTTTCTCATGGACACTTGATTCTTTGGTACTTCTAAGGGAGTGGGATGCTACTTTGATGTAGCTGGCAGCTTGGAGCCAGCAAAGAGGAGGTTGATGTTGCCTTGAGTGAAGCTTTCCTTTTTCAGTCCAAGCTTTGAGGTTCATGTTTGCTCACATATGAAACAGTGTCACTGCAGCTGATGAGAAGTCTCGAGTCCTTGTGTCGATGGAATTAGTTATCATTCTCAATCATTCAGGCTGTTTACACTTTAATCTCGACTTTGAAGTTTGGTCTAATGTTTCACTTTTGCCATTCTGCACTCCTAGCGGTTTTCAGTGCCGTAGTACAAAAGCCGTAGAAAAGCACAGTGATTATAAGTAGAATCCATTAGGACGAAGTGGATTCTAGCAGATTATTGAGATAAAATAACAGGTAAGAGTTTGTGAAAGTTAAATATAAATCAGTCAAATCGACATAAAACATACATATCACTAGTCGTGGCCCCTCGTCATACATCTCTGGTTCATCAATCGGGCCAAATGAGCACCTAATGAGAACAGGAGAACATTTAAATCCAGCTTTATTTGACTTATGAGGAAACACCATGCTCCGATCATCCCTCAGCTGGGTTTTTTTGTGCATGCGTGTGTTGGTGCATGTGTGTCATCAGTCATCATACTGTTTATTTTTCCCGTGCTTTGAAACGTGCTCTGCGCAGCCCGATGTGTGATTAGAAAGTTACGCCACATTTGACACAATCAGGACGCACACCGACAGGCACAGGGCAGATAGGTAATACCTCCACAACCCAATCAGAGACATTAGCACATGTTTACACTTTGATCTGATTACAGACGCACCCATTGTGACTCTGCTGCATGCTTGAATAATCATGTGTTTGTGTGAGCCCTTGTGCTGACTGTTGTGCATATGTGTAAAAATGTGGTAAATGGACTGTACTTAGTGCCTTTCTAGTCTTCCACTCGAAGCGCTTTTACACTAAATCCATCCCTTTACATTCACACACTGATGCACGGCATCAGAAGCAGTTTGGGGTTCAGTATCTCGCTCAAGGACACTTCGACTTGCAGCCACAGTGTGTGTTTAAAGTTGGGTTGAAGTTAACAGGGAATCACAGAGGATGCTAAGTTTAATCATTCCTTTCCTCGTGGCATAATCATTTCACATTGTTGATAAATCCATGTTTGACATATTTGTTCATAAAGATATTTATCCAGGATTGGCCTTTTCAGTTGGCAGGTGTTTACGGCGTCAGCGTGCAGAAATAAATATAATGACATGCAAACTGCAAATTTTAGTCCGAGTAGTTCTCCCCTTACTTCCTAATCTTATGTCTTCATGTTTTCTCCTATTATTTTTTTTCCCTATAGAATACCTTCATCTTTATCAAATTGTACACACAACATATCCACTTCATAAATTATCTTTGCTTCACTAAATAATTTAATGAAATGCTCTGTATTTAAGATTTCTTCTCCAAAACACTGCATTAATCTTATGCGCTCTCTGCCTAATCATATACTCCATGCTGTGTGTGTGTCATATTAATAGCACCGAGGCACTGGTGTGTATTTTCATCTGATCCTCCCATCATCACCTGCCTGGCTGACATCAGTCACTCAGATTTCTGATGGGAATTACATTGATTATTGGTTCTGGTTGAGGGAATTCAATTTGTCCTTGGAAATATTAAAATTGCAGTGCTGCATTTATCACCTGTAGATTAGCTGCAGTATCCTTTATATAACGACATGTAAAGCATATGTTTGTTAGTGAGAGTATATATTACTATACACTTTACATTGTAATGTAAGACTATGTTCTATTGTCAACAATTTGTCCCCAGACCCTAAATGTTACATTTAAACCCTTAAACCTAATTTAGCCAGCACAAAGGGAAGAGTAAAGCAGCTTATCTATGAAGAGAAGCTGAGCTTGTTCCTGGTTTCCAATTACAAAAATCAAGGAGAACAACAAGTCAATTTTTGTCTTATTTCACTCAACTAGTTAAAAAAAATATTTGAGGGAATAAACAGGCCATGCATTTTCTGATTCCTCATGAATTTTTCAAAAGTACCAGCTAGTTTAAAGGTTGTTTTTTATAAGATTCAAGGATTCATTTGGCAGCGAGTTTTCCCCCGATTTCTCTCCACACTGCAGATAGCAGCA